TGGCCTTGGATATTGCCGAGCGAGAAAAGTCGCCGGTGCTCTACCTCTGTACTGACTCATGGATGGTGGCAAGGGTGCTGTGGGGGTGGTTACAGCAGTGGAAACGGAGCAACTGGCAGCAGAGGCAAACCCGTCTGGGCTGCTGAATTATGTCAAGATATTGCTGCTCGAGTAGAGAATCTGGTTGTGAAAGTACACCAGGTAGACGCTCATGTACCCACAAGCCGGGACACTGAATAGCATCAGAACAACCAACAGGTGGATCAGGCTGCCAAGATCAAGGTGTCTCAAATAGATATGGACTGGCACTGTAAGGGTGAACAATTTCTGTCTTGCTGGGCTCATAATTCCTCAGGCCATCAGGGAAGAGATGCAACACAAAGATGGGCTTGTGACAGAGGAGTGGACTTGACCATGGATGTTACTGCACAGGTAATCCATGAATGTGAGACATGTGCCACAATCAAGGAAGCCAAATAGTTAAAGTCCATTTGGTATGGAGGACGATGATCAAAATATAAATATGGGAGGCCTGGCAGATTGATAATATCACGCTCCCACAAACTCAGCAAGGCAAACACTATGGGCTTACAATGGTGGAAGCAGCCACTGATTGGCTGGAAACTCATGCCGTGTCCCATGCCACTGCCCAGAACACTATTTTAGGCCTTGAGAATGAAGTTTATGGCAGCATGGCACGCCAGAAAGGATTGAGTCAGATAATGGGACACACTTCCGAAACAACCTCATAGACGCCTGGGCCAAAGAACATGGCATTGAGTGGATAGATCACATTCCCTACCATGCGCCAGCCTCTGGGAAAACTGAGTGATACAATGGGTCGCTAAAAGCTACACTGGTGGTGGAACTTTCAAAGTCTGGGACATGCATTTAGCAAAAGCCACCTGGTTAGTCAATACCAGAGGATCTGCCAAGCCAGCTGGCCCTGCTCAGTCAAACCTCCTACATACTGTGGATGGGGATAAAGGCCCCATAGTGCGCATTAGGAAGGTGTTGGGGAAGGCCGTCTGGGTTACTCCTACATTGGGTAAAGGTAAACCCATGTGTGGGATTAGTTTTACCCAAGGACCTGGGTGCACTTGGTGAGTAATTCCGAAGGATGGATAAGTCCTCAGGGAGATTTGATTTTAGGTGAGAATAGCCAATGAACCAGACTGTCGAATAATCCTGTTATTTCAATTTGTGCCCTGTAACATCCTCCTGCCACATCCAAAGCCTCCTGCTTCACGTACTGAGCCAACTCCACCTCATTCCTCAACCTTATAGACTGTCATAACAGATGGAACCCGCAGTTATGGACCAAATGTACTCAGCAAACACTGTGGAAGGATGGACCATAGACTAAGGGAATGATATCTATAAAAAAAAAAAAAAAAAGAGGGGGTGGTGATTCCTTAAGATGTATTTGGAAACCTGGTCATAACGTCAATAGTATGGAGTAAGGGGTGGAGACTGTCCTCGTTTCTACCAGGATAGAGTTGGCTTTCCGTGGGTTGAGAGGGAGCGCAGGTAGAGGGCCTGGTCCAAATCAGTCATTGGAGTATTTCATACTATGTGATGTCATGCCCAGGGATACAGGCGGGCACGGACCCTCTCTGGTATATGCACTTTTCAGGTTTCCGATCTGATTGCATGTTGTGGGAGGTGGTCACTGCGCTCAGTAAGCCACTGCTGCATTTCACTTGTTTCTTTTTGGACTCACTATTGTTACTGTTGTTCTCTTGTTATATTTAGTAAATTCTTTCTTTTCATTTAACCTGTGAATTTTGTTCTTTTTGTTCCTCCCCTATTTCACCAGGGACGGCTGGCCACATGGTGTCTATCTGTCGGCTGAGTTCAGAACTCAACAGTATTATAAATACGAAAATTGTTTAGTGTCAATACATCAAATAATCTCTATGTTATCCCTGGAGAAGGCAAACATACAATACAATAAAAATGGAATTCCTCTTCACACTAGTACCTGCTGTGTTTTCCAGCCTAAGGACTGAATATGACCAGTATCAAGTTCAGTGTTAAGGAGTCCTCATTAATGTGTAGACACTTATGAGTAATCTGTGACTGCTTATCTTCGCAGAGCTTCGAGATGCCACATGATGTTGTTGCTTCAGAAGATAAAACAGTATTCATTGGAGATGTTCAAGTCAGAACAGTGTGGAAGTTTGCATCCATAGAAAGTATGTTCTTTTTGTTCTTAATGCCACAACTTCACACATTGTATCTTCAGATCAGTACCACTTATACCACTGGCCAAGAACCTGGTGCCTTAATGACAAGTATGCTACAAGCTCTGCCTGCAGAAGTTGTGCGCTACTGCTCAGTTTTCATTAAAAGACCATTTTTCAGCACTGCAGAATGCTCTTGCCAAAGAAGAGTCCTGAGTGCATGAGTTTGTTGCAGGAGGAATTACAATTCATTTGTCTTGTGGTTGATCTATCCCTTGTCATGTCGGTACCTGCTTAAACAAAAGTATGACTCTAGCATTTTAGTAATTTTAATGTATCATTAGCTGAGAAGTCAACTGCAGCTGAGAGGTTTTCATACAGGAAATTCCCGGGTTGAAGTAAAAACACAAGTCAACTTAAAATTTATATTCATTTCTTCAGGAGTATTTATATTTAGAAAATTAATCTAGTGTAATTTGAAGTCCTATTTTCATGAATTAGAAGCACTTACCAGTTTTAATCTAGTAACCCACAAGAGAAGCAGCCTCGCTTCAAGGACAGGGACCTGATTAGTCAGACATCAATTTAGTAGGATTCTGAGAGAGATTAGGTATTTTACAGGAATAAAAATATAATCCGCTGTTACATTATATTGGATAAAAAAATGTATGACAGGAAGAAAGCCTCAGGCTTCAGGGTGTTAGTCAACCAGAAAAAAAAAAAAAAAAACAGAACAAGAACACTTCTAGGCTTTTATTTGGAGAAACATGAGAACAAAAAAAAAGTATGCAATTATTCATCACTTACAAGTTAGATGAGGAAAGTCCTTGTATATAATTTTCTTTTTTAGGTTTTGCTGCAGTATAAAACTGCAGTAGCTAAGGAGCCCAGATTCAGCCAGCCTTTAATCCATCTTTTTTTTTTTTTAATTATAATGAACAGTTTTATTTTCCTGAACCTTTACATGTGCCCATAAAATCTTGCTGTGGCATCAGAATTAATTATTGCAAACACCTTCCATGTATCAAGCTCGTTTTTTTTTTTCCATGGCCTTGTGAGGTATTGATTCTCCTTAGTGAAGTTTAGATGCTGATGGGATTTTTTACTGTAGGATCGTACTGTCCATTTGAGAAAGCTAGTAGGAAAATGTCACTGAGTGTCTTTCTGAAATGTCAGTTGTCCTGAAGAATAATTTTGTTTTACAGAAATGGAACATCGGTCAGTTAAAAAGGCTGGTATTGAGGTACAGGAAATAAAAGGTTAGTCGAAATCATAATGGAAATGAAGAATCAGTATTTTCACATAGACTAGGACTGCTTCTGCCATGTTGGAGGGAAAAATGCTAACTATTTCATCTGTTTCATTTTCACCATCATTTCATACAGATAAATGAGCTGGCATAGGAAGCACTAGAAAGCAGCTTGTAACAGTGTTACCTAGTAGATGGTATTTTACAGCTAGTCTAAACACTTGATTGTCAGTGATGGCAAGTGTTTTACAGACACTAAGGTAAAAATTTAATTACTGGATTAATTCTGTACCACCATCTGGTACAGTCCAGATTGGTATCTGTTTCAGCTTCCTTAGATGCAGAAATAGCTCTGAATTTAGCTGTCATAGTTACTCCCCAGCACCCTTCCCCCTGCTCCACTACCCTATACCACCAAAAAAGTGTTATTTGAAATGGCAATTGGTTTATCTTTCTACATAGTCTTTCAGTACATAGCCCTGCCTGTCACACCATATGGCAAAAAAAATCCGTTTTTTCTATTTAGATTTATTTTCCTAGATTTACTGCTTTTTTTTTCCAATTTATCTGCATGAAAATTTAAAAAAAAAAAATATCATGTAGAAATGTAATATAAGGAGATGTAGAGGAGATTGAAAGGGGTAAAATAGCAATTTAGGAACATTAAAAGTAATTTTAAGCATTTGTATTCTGTTACATAGGTCTTTTATGTTGAAAAGTTGATGTCCCTTTCAGAAAAACAGTACCAGGCTATGGAGAGGCCTTTATAAAATGTTCAAACATTCTTAGCTGTTTTAATTTGGCTGAATTCAGAACTTGTGTGGTTTGCTTTAGCCATGTATATGCAGATGGACAAAAACACCAAAAGATCCCAACTGCTAATGGCAAGCATGTAGAATAGAGGAGGCTGACATTATAAAACAACGAAATCCTTATTGACAAAACTGTTATCCTTCTGTGGTATCTCTGTTGGTACATCAGCCCTCCTGAAGCACTCAAAAGGAAAGTGTTGACATTACAGCATCCACAGTACCACAAATCTAAGGATATATTAATGCGTTTTGTGCTTCTTTAAGAAGACAGCATGCTAGCTGACACTCTAATGTTACAGAGAAAAACTGCAGTAATATCACCAGTTTTTAAGTAAGAATCTCTAAAACTGTTTAGGGTATGTAGGATGAAATGAACGTATTTCAACTCCACTTGAAAAAAACAGACAGCCAATGGACTTTGTGTCATCCTCTGCTTAATAAATGGACAGGAGTGCCCTGCACTTTCACAGCTTCCTGGTGACAGACTGTTACTATTGCTTGCAATGCTGAAGTGGGGGAAGATATGTGGAGAACTGTAGGTTTGCCCAGAGTTGTGCAAGATGGTGGAGGAAAATTACCCTTGGCTATAACTACTACTTGAACAGAAGGCATGTTATCATTGTATTAGTGATAACAATTATATCATTGTTATCATTGTATTATTGTTAAGTGTAAACAAGCATTTGCTGTTCTTTCAGAATTGAACATCATTTTAAGTTTGATACAGAATCAAAACCATTGATTCAGAGTGTGTTTCTAGTGCAGCTACTTCTTAGGACATGCAGTTAAGTCAGACTTTAAAATATACAGCTGGACAGTTTTAGTCGCTAAAAGTTAGTACAAAGCACGTAAACCTTTATACACACACAAAACAGCATGGAGGATTTTATTGAAATGGTTTTTCTCCTTGTAGGTGGAGAAGCAACAAATTAGTCAGGAATGACTGGATGCAGTTTTCAAAAGCTCTCCAGATTTACAGAGCCAAAGTTCTTTCAGGGGTTGTAGCAGTTCTGGAAATTTAATCCATTGTCACAAGTTTATGAAATTCAAATGCTTTTATTTTTGTTTATGGTAATACAGCATATACTGAATTTCTGTATTTCTTGTGGAAGTGTTATTATCAAAAGGAGATATTTAATTGATATTACATCACAACCTATTTTCAAAAATAGATCTTTGGGGATTTTCCTTTATTATAAATTATTTATACTTTTTAGGACAAAACTCTCCCTGACACCTCTCCTATCCTCATTCAAGAAAAGGAGAGGGCATCTTTGCTAGTGAGTGATATCATTCAGACTCTCCCTGCCTTATGTTTGGGATCACATTAGGAAGAGCTAAAAATGTCTCCATAAGTCTTACGTTTCCTTGTTACTCAACATTTCAGGTATTCTAGCTTGTTCTTTAATGCCTTGTTCTGTGTTGCTTGATGCATATGGATTACATACTGAAATTGTCTTCTTTTCAAAGAATCGGAAACAATTGTAGAAGCCAGATTGAAAAACAACCCAGAATCAACAGACGCTCTAAAGAAGCACGAAAAACAACATTTGGTCCAACAGGCCAGCACTGGAGTTTCCTTTGTTCTTATTACAACTCTTCTAATTATCCCTGCTGTTGTCCTACTGGCAATTTTAGTATTTGTTCGGTGGAGGAGAACAACTGGCTATGGAGGTAACTATGCATAACTGTAGAGAACAGGTTTTTATTATTCCAGTTCAGAACATCACAGAACACTAAGGGATGAGAGTGTAAAGAGAGAAGCTTACTGTGTCCCTTCCCTTCTCAACAGTTACTGTGACACTGCATACAAACTAAGAATCAGTGTGCACACAGCAAATGCATTCACCTGTGTCTTTAATATCACATCTCAAGCCACCACCTATTCAGAACATGTATATAGAACTTCAATTGGTGTGAAGCCAAAAATTGGTATCTCAGAAATAACTAGACTATATTCATGTTATTGTCTATATACATAAATTTTAATACTCTGAGCATAGTTTGATTTTCAGTTTGGGATCTTTAAATTGTTGAGAACAAAAGACTGTATGGATATTATAAAGATATAAGCACAATGTAATCAGATAACATTTAAAAGAGATGGTATCTTAGTGTTCACTACTACCTGCTGCATTTTGTGAGTCAGACATTTCCATAATGCACCTCTATCCATTGCTGTAAGAGCTTTAATTGGTACTTAGAATGTTACATAAATCTGCTCTTACTTGATATTATAACATTATTTTTGAGAAACTGGTAGACTGTAGTAGGCCTTTGATCATTACACTTGTTATGTTGTATCATATAAATAGTTTTATCAAGTTATTCTCATGAAGAGAAGCAAATGTATGTGGAAATAGACAAATAACAGTTCAGCCACTGACTAGGACATATTACAACACAGGACGTAATTCAGGAATCGAATATTGCTGTGCAACTGAATTGGATGTATTTTATTTGAAGATTTGCAACTTCCTGTCTCTCTCTGCTCATAGAAGTTTAGCACATCAAATGTGCTAACACTCTACACTATTGCAGTACTCTGTTAATGGACATGATCTATAATAACATGTTTGTATTCAAGCAGTGCTTTAATTTACTGTGTAATGATACAGTTACATTGGTAAAAGTAAACTTCTTGCACAAATTTATGGAAACTGAGTAGTGTGTAAGAAAAGACATTTTGGTCATGCCATTAAATTTTTCTTCAGATGAAGGATGGAAAGAGTTACCAGGAGGAGCATATAGGTTGTGAGGGGGGCAAGAAAGTTCCTCCAGAATACCTGAAGAAATTCACAACCACTGTCTTCTGTAAACCCAGTTTCTTGGGATGGGAACTATACCACTTCAATGTTAAGCTGTATTTTGCAGTGTGCTGGAATGTAGTTGTGCATATTATAAACGACAAGGTTCTTGTCCTTCCTGTAAACACTTAACAATACATAAATAAACAGTTGAGGGAATTAAATTCTCAGAAATAACTTATATGTGAATCTTCGTAATGGCTGAATTGGCATAAACTGAACATCCGTACTATGATACTTTTGTTAGGAATGATAATTTCACCTGAATCAAGTAGCTGGAAAGTATCAGTTTGGCTTCTTAGAGCTGCTGATCAATTTGTTGAATGTCTGTGCTTTGTATGAGAATATACAGATAATTATTTAATCGTATAATTTTTTTCTCTTATTTTTGAAATCTACCTTATTTTTCAGCTGATGGAGAACACAAACTTGATTCAAGTTCAGGCAGAATTTTAGGCAGACTTAGAGGTAAGTCTGAGTCATTGGAGAACTTCTAAGAACTCAGTAACTGGAGGTTTTTTTCTGTATTCACTTATAGTTGAAGAACAGATTTGATAGAACTTTCTCAGAGGAAGGAGTGGGGACAAACCTCAGGTGTTTTGTGGAAATGTCTTTTATGGTACCATTCATATGTCATTATCTGCCCGCTGAAAAGAATGTGTCACTACCAGTGGGAGAGCACTAGCTATAATAATGTTTGTGGATCTTGTGAATGAAGTGAAGTACTTCGAGACTAAGGGCAAACTGGTGGAAACACAAATAGCCTGTGTAAAGGCTTAATGGAACTATGGGTGCTGAAAAGATTTTGAAACGTCTACTTCAAAGATTAATTTCCTTCCTCTTTCATAATCTCCATACTTAGCTTTTGTGACTCATGTGCCGATCTTTAAAAACAGTTTCTGGAGGACACTTAAAATAATCTCCACTGTTACTGTTGAATGAGTAGGTAGATTTTTATTCCCCCTGTACAGTAAAGCAAACTTTATGACAAGCCTTTCCATTCCACAGGGAAAGGCGGTGGTGGCCTTAACCTTGGGAACTTCTTTGCTAGTCACAAAGGCTATAGCCGAAAAGGATTTGACCGACTGAGCACTGAAGGAAGTGATCAAGAAAAAGATGATGATGGCACAGATTCAGAGGGAGAGTGTTCAGCACCCCCACCAGCACCTTCATCCTGAAACCAGCCTTTGAGTTCTCCATTAATATGATTCAACCCAGGATGTCAGATTCCTTTTTCCTTAAGCACGTTTAAGATTTTGTGTATTTAATTGTAAACTGTACTAGTCTATGTGGGGCTGTACACTGGTTCCTTTAATTTTTGTTTGGTTTTAGTTCTGTTTTTAAGTGGAGGAGTGTATGGAAGTTCCATATCAGTGACGCTGTTTTTTATGTGAACGTCTTAATAAAGCAAAGAGTCTTCTAATTGCAGCACTGATTTAAAGCAGTAGTATTTTCTCATCTCGATTTGGGGATCTTGTAAATAAGTCTTACTATCTGCTTCATCAAAATATTTTTCCCATAACTATTCAGTTGCCAATTTCTGTTTTGTGCCTTTCCTCTTCAATGTCCTTAACCTGTTGCAGTACAGAGAAAATACAGTGCCACAAGAAAATGAAGCTGCTAAGTCTTCTTCTATTTTTTTAAAATCACTATCATGATATTGCATTGAAGGAAAGAAAAAAAGTGTCTATTTAATTCTTTTTCTTCCTCCTAACTTCATGTGTTTCTGGGATGTCTTATTTTTAGATGGTATCTCTGTTAGAACAATATTTTCAGAAGCTGAATGTAATTTGTGTAATAAAGTATTTGCAGAGCATTAGTCTTCAGTGTACTTTGGAATTTTTGCATCCTTTTAAGTTTTTTCTATACAAATTTGTAAAAGTTACACAGACCACTTAATACAGTAAAAATTTTAATGTCTTCTACCAGCAGAAAAAAGTGCTATTTTTTTATGGAATCTAGAAAAATATTTTGCTATATCATAAGGGTTTTTTTTAAAGACTAATAATTTACATACATGTACAAAGGCAAACTTAAAACATTTAAAGAGGAATTTTACTTGTATCATAAAACTGCAGGGTATTTAATAAAACTTGGTCAAGGCTAAGAGGAAACCTTTGTCTCAAATTAAATATGCAAAATAGTCAGGGTAGGCATCTAGTACTACTTGATTTGTAGTATGAATTTTCTTGTTTCTCCACACATCCTTTTTCATTTATATAACAGGAGTCCTCACTCCCCTAATGTGCTTACCTACTGAACAGGAGACTTGCAGAAGACCTGCTAATTATCCTGGCTGTATGAGTTATCTGAAGTGTGAATCATTGTGTGACATTATGATTTATCATTCTAGTTTGAGGATCAGAGCATGATTAATCTCCTTTTAAAGACTGCATTATGAACAGAGTGTACACAGCTGTAATTGCCACAGGGTTTTATGAAACAGCTTTTATTATTGTCATTGCAGGTGTTGAAATAAACTATTGCTAGTGTTGAGCTTGAAAAATAAATAGGTTTTAGATTTCTTATAACAGCACAATTTGCAAGGTGTTTTTTTGAGGGAATATGGGTAATGATAGGGGAACAAGAGATAAGATTGAAATTGCCATCGCAATTAAGGAGCTGTCCTTGCCACAAATATTATTAGGTGTAAGTTGATTCCTTAAGAAGCATTTTAAGCTTAAGTAGTTTTCTCACTGAGCAGTGCACTGTAGCAGTTAATGAGCATTTCTAGATCAATGCAGTAAATCGCACCAGCTCCTTGCTTGCTAAAGCTAGATTTATGTTTTCTCAGAACTTTATAACATGATAGACCTAAAAGTATTAGGATTAAGTGTGGGTCATGGTACACATAAGGGACTGTTCTTGCTGTTCTAATATTGCTGTGCAACCGAATTGGATGTATTTTATTTGAAGATTTGCAGCTTCCTGTCTCTCTCTGCTCATAGAAGTTTAGCACATCAAATGTGCTAACACTCTAGACTATTGCAGTACTCTGTTAATGGACATGATCTATAATAACATGTTTGTATTCAAGCAGTGCTTTAATTTACTGTGTAATGATACAGTTACATTGGTAAAAGTAAACTTCTTGCACAAATTTATGGAAACTGAGTAGTGTGTAAGAAAAGACATTTTGGTCATGCCATTAAATTTTTCTTCAGATGAAGGATGGAAAGAGTTACCAGGAGGAGCATATAGGTTGTGAGGGGGGCAAGAAAGTTCCTCCAGAATACCTGAAGAAATTCACAACCACTGTCTTCTGTAAACCCAGTTTCTTGGGATGGGAACTATACCACTTCAATGTTAAGCTGTATTTTGCAGTGTGCTGGAATGTAGTTGTGCATATTATAAACGACAAGGTTCTTGTCCTTCCTGTAAACACTTAACAATACATAAATAAACAGTTGAGGGAATTAAATTCTCAGAAATAACTTATATGTGAATCTTCGTAATGGCTGAATTGGCATAAACTGAACATCCGTACTATGATACTTTTGTTAGGAATGATAATTTCACCTGAATCAAGTAGCTGGAAAGTATCAGTTTGGCTTCTTAGAGCTGCTGATCAATTTGTTGAATGTCTGTGCTTTGTATGAGAATATACAGATAATTATTTAATCGTATAATTTTTTTCTCTTATTTTTGAAATCTACCTTATTTTTCAGCTGATGGAGAACACAAACTTGATTCAAGTTCAGGCAGAATTTTAGGCAGACTTAGAGGTAAGTCTGAGTCATTGGAGAACTTCTAAGAACTCAGTAACTGGAGGTTTTTTTCTGTATTCACTTATAGTTGAAGAACAGATTTGATAGAACTTTCTCAGAGGAAGGAGTGGGGACAAACCTCAGGTGTTTTGTGGAAATGTCTTTTATGGTACCATTCATATGTCATTATCTGCCCGCTGAAAAGAATGTGTCACTACCAGTGGGAGAGCACTAGCTATAATAATGTTTGTGGATCTTGTGAATGAAGTGAAGTACTTCGAGACTAAGGGCAAACTGGTGGAAACACAAATAGCCTGTGTAAAGGCTTAATGGAACTATGGGTGCTGAAAAGATTTTGAAACGTCTACTTCAAAGATTAATTTCCTTCCTCTTTCATAATCTCCATACTTAGCTTTTGTGACTCATGTGCCGATCTTTAAAAACAGTTTCTGGAGGACACTTAAAATAATCTCCACTGTTACTGTTGAATGAGTAGGTAGATTTTTATTCCCCCTGTACAGTAAAGCAAACTTTATGACAAGCCTTTCCATTCCACAGGGAAAGGCGGTGGTGGCCTTAACCTTGGGAACTTCTTTGCTAGTCACAAAGGCTATAGCCGAAAAGGATTTGACCGACTGAGCACTGAAGGAAGTGATCAAGAAAAAGATGATGATGGCACAGATTCAGAGGGAGAGTGTTCAGCACCCCCACCAGCACCTTCATCCTGAAACCAGCCTTTGAGTTCTCCATTAATATGATTCAACCCAGGATGTCAGATTCCTTTTTCCTTAAGCACGTTTAAGATTTTGTGTATTTAATTGTAAACTGTACTAGTCTATGTGGGGCTGTACACTGGTTCCTTTAATTTTTGTTTGGTTTTAGTTCTGTTTTTAAGTGGAGGAGTGTATGGAAGTTCCATATCAGTGACGCTGTTTTTTATGTGAACGTCTTAATAAAGCAAAGAGTCTTCTAATTGCAGCACTGATTTAAAGCAGTAGTATTTTCTCATCTCGATTTGGGGATCTTGTAAATAAGTCTTACTATCTGCTTCATCAAAATATTTTTCCCATAACTATTCAGTTGCCAATTTCTGTTTTGTGCCTTTCCTCTTCAATGTCCTTAACCTGTTGCAGTACAGAGAAAATACAGTGCCACAAGAAAATGAAGCTGCTAAGTCTTCTTCTATTTTTTTAAAATCACTATCATGATATTGCATTGAAGGAAAGAAAAAAAGTGTCTATTTAATTCTTTTTCTTCCTCCTAACTTCATGTGTTTCTGGGATGTCTTATTTTTAGATGGTATCTCTGTTAGAACAATATTTTCAGAAGCTGAATGTAATTTGTGTAATAAAGTATTTGCAGAGCATTAGTCTTCAGTGTACTTTGGAATTTTTGCATCCTTTTAAGTTTTTTCTATACAAATTTGTAAAAGTTACACAGACCACTTAATACAGTAAAAATTTTAATGTCTTCTACCAGCAGAAAAAAGTGCTATTTTTTTATGGAATCTAGAAAAATATTTTGCTATATCATAAGGGTTTTTTTTAAAGACTAATAATTTACATACATGTACAAAGGCAAACTTAAAACATTTAAAGAGGAATTTTACTTGTATCATAAAACTGCAGGGTATTTAATAAAACTTGGTCAAGGCTAAGAGGAAACCTTTGTCTCAAATTAAATATGCAAAATAGTCAGGGTAGGCATCTAGTACTACTTGATTTGTAGTATGAATTTTCTTGTTTCTCCACACATCCTTTTTCATTTATATAACAGGAGTCCTCACTCCCCTAATGTGCTTACCTACTGAACAGGAGACTTGCAGAAGACCTGCTAATTATCCTGGCTGTATGAGTTATCTGAAGTGTGAATCATTGTGTGACATTATGATTTATCATTCTAGTTTGAGGATCAGAGCATGATTAATCTCCTTTTAAAGACTGCATTATGAACAGAGTGTACACAGCTGTAATTGCCACAGGGTTTTATGAAACAGCTTTTATTATTGTCATTGCAGGTGTTGAAATAAACTATTGCTAGTGTTGAGCTTGAAAAATAAATAGGTTTTAGATTTCTTATAACAGCACAATTTGCAAGGTGTTTTTTTGAGGGAATATGGGTAATGATAGGGGAACAAGAGATAAGATTGAAATTGCCATCGCAATTAAGGAGCTGTCCTTGCCACAAATATTATTAGGTGTAAGTTGATTCCTTAAGAAGCATTTTAAGCTTAAGTAGTTTTCTCACTGAGCAGTGCACTGTAGCAGTTAATGAGCATTTCTAGATCAATGCAGTAAATCGCACCAGCTCCTTGCTTGCTAAAGCTAGATTTATGTTTTCTCAGAACTTTATAACATGATAGACCTAAAAGTATTAGGATTAAGTGTGGGTCATGGTACACATAAGGGACTGTTCTTGCTGTTCTAATATTGCTGTGCAACCGAATTGGATGTATTTTATTTGAAGATTTGCAGCTTCCTGTCTCTCTCTGCTCATAGAAGTTTAGCACATCAAATGTGCTAACACTCTAGACTATTGCAGTACTCTGTTAATGGACATGATCTATAATAACATGTTTGTATTCAAGCAGTGCTTTAATTTACTGTGTAATGATACAGTTACATTGGTAAAAGTAAACTTCTTGCACAAATTTATGGAAACTGAGTAGTGTGTAAGAAAAGACATTTTGGTCATGCCATTAAATTTTTCTTCAGATGAAGGATGGAAAGAGTTACCAGGAGGAACATATAGTTCTTGCCATGCAAACACATGTGGGAGCCTGTTTGAAAGCCTACATATGTGTTAGCAATACAGGTTGGGGGGAACATACCACTGCTGAGCAATTCAAAAGTAAATTTATTATTTAATTGCACATTAGGGCATACTTTTAGATTTGAAAAAACTGCATTATGATACAGTGCACAGTTTGTGTGGATTCATGTAACATACTGAAAAAAAAACCCAAGTACCAAATGTTCAGGTCAATTAAAATTAAGAGCCGAAACAGGGCCACTCGGTTTTCTATGTAAAATAGATGCTAGTAAAGCCTAGGGTTTTAAGCACTCTGATATGCCTTTACGTGGGTTTTTTTTCCCAATTCCTAAATGTGAAAATATTTTTTTCCTATTGTGAGTTATCAAAATTTGTTAGTAAAATTCACACTCTTCTTCAAACTCCTCTCCAATACCTGTGAAAAACTTATTCATGTGCATAGCTAAATATTACTGGCAGAAAAAAAAAAGAGGGGAGCTAATAGTGTACAGGAGGATTTTAAATATCCAGTGGCAGCTACTCATTCAATTAAAACCTGCAAACTTCCTTCCGTTTCTGGACATGGTGGCTGGAAATCCTCAAGGAGCATCCCGCTGGGTTTGTTACACACATACTTGGAGAAGTACAGTGGAGCAATTTGTTCCTAGCAAATATTCAGTAGTAACAGTTCAGCAAACTAAGGAAATTAATAATTACCAACTACTTTTATTTTTCAAATTGAAACATCTAAACTACTTTTTTAAAACTATTTTGTCAGAATGGGGATAAGACAACCCACATACCTGCCCACTGCTTTCCTTCATGCATTAAAGCCCTACCCTGCCCCCCCCCCCAAGTTTGTTACTGCTTTCTTCAGCCGTAGCATAGCCTAAAACTGCAGCTCAAGAGAAAATTACTTGCATTAAAAAGAACTGAATCCCACAGTTCTGCTGTTTCCTTGAGTTGGGTTTCAGGTTACACATAAGGAACTGAAGATATGGCCTTTTTCCAGGCATTTGTACAAGAGATCCTGCAAATTGCAGCCAAGGTTTAATGAGCACCTAAAGGTGCTCAGTTCTTAGTAAGCTTAAAAGCTATATTGAATGTTTGCCACAGTTGGTAGTTATAAACTACTTAGTGCACAAGGAAACTATTTTTGTGCTGTAATTCATGTGAAAGGGCAATCATGCAACCATCACACAATGCAGGTCACATTGCTCTCAGAAATTTATGCTTCCATAATTATCAACTGGTGACAGTTCTTGCTGTCACCAGATGGTAATTTTGCTGAGAATGTGGTTTGGGAAAGAAAGACTCGGAGAAACAAACCTTTGCACAGCATGTTCTAAAAGGATCACATTTTCATATTCACTGTGCTGCAGTGTGCAGGATGTGGTCCTGCAGGGACAGGCTGCCACCATGTGACCAGAAAGGCAGAGAAAGTCCAGGCTCCTCCAAAATAAATCCCTAATGTCTGTGGAGGTAAACATATGTATCTCTCAAGATTAATAGTTCCTGAATCAAATGTTTTAAAATTAAGTTACTGTCTGGTTACTGGTATCTGGAAGAGCCTTCCTTTTCAAAGGGAAGCTTTTTGTGTACTGTTCTCAGGCCAACAGACAATGACAGCTGCTGATATGCCTTGCTGGGTTTCCATGACTTGGTAAGGATCTAGAGCTCACACTTTATTTTTAGCTAGTCCAGTAAATTAACTGAAAGCACCCAATCCACTCCAATCCTCCAAAATATTCCATTAGTTATTTTGAAAATACCAAGGTCACCATTTTGACACTAGGGTCATTAAAGTAATGATGGTCTGCTGCAAAAGGTCATTGATATAGATGCTGCACCCGAGCAAATGAGTAAGGAAACTTATCTGATTCTTAAAAGTGGTATTTCCAGATTTGTTAACTGCTTGCCATGAAAAGCAAATCATGACTTCAGCAGGAAACATTCAGGTCTAGAGAGAAGGAAAATAAAATAAAACTGGAAAGCAAGAAAACCTTAACACAGAATGGGCAAATGCTACACAAAAGTTCAGGAAGTATTCAAACAGGAGATAAAAGGTTTTCTTTCCATGATAAAACACTTGAGTCTTTGTACAGTCTTTAATAGCAGATATTTTTTAAGCTGTTCTTCAAACTGAGCTGGTAGGTAGCACTACTAGCAAACCTAAAAGTTAAATGTTCGTAGTTCTGTGCTGGGAAGTATGAAGAAATTTGCACTTTTTGTTTAATGCTGTACTCCCACCTATTCCTCCTCTCTAAACAGCTTGCCATGAAGGGGCATAGGCTCTTATTAGAAAACAATTTCTAAGAATTCTGTTAGAAAAGTCTTATGCTGTTGTCCTATCAAATCAAACCTGAGTGCCAGTGAAAAAGAGTACAGATGGACATTCATCCCAGTTGGTCAGAACAAACCAAAAGCAGGCAGGTCACAACTCACAGCAGTCATGAGCAGTGAATGCTTTGCTATGGCAAGGTACAAGTTCCTCTATGCTTCCCCAAGCACAGTATGCTGCTAGTAATGTCTCAGGTTTCCTGGTGGGGTTTTTTCAGTTTCCACTGATTGTTTTTCACATCATTAGTTTGAAACCCCAGTATTTTATTTCAGTGAACCTTCCACATGCAGAGAAGGTCCCATTTAGGTGCACTCAAGAAGCACTAATGCCTGCTTGTTAACACAGAATCAAAACTACCAGGTAGCCTGAATGATCAGCATTATACAGTACATTAAATGTTTCCTGGTTTTCCCATTCTCCTGTCACTGTAGCATTTTCACTCCAATACAGCTATAACAAACAATTACACAATACTTGCATTGACCCAGAGCTTCCCCAGAAAGCAGCTCTGCTGTACTGTGCACAAATAAAGAAGTGATCAGTTGGAAATAAAAATCAAGAGTGATTTTCTTTTCACCTAACAAAGCAGAAAGAAATTTTAAAGAGAGTTCCCTTATTCTCTCATTTTATCCCTGACACTCTTTTTTTTCTTTTGCATGCATTATATGTGTGTTTATGTATATATATACATATATATATATATATAGCATGCACACATAAACAACTTATCTAACAATGTAACACATCCATCCTAGCAGAAGATGTCACTTTTAGTCATCATAGCAGAAGAAACAAAGGTACATACAGAGGAGCAGTGGTTGACTTAAGAAGTCTGGGCCTCTGTTAAGGATTAGTATAGGAACAATTTAAGCTGCCCTGTCATTATCATGACAAGAACCTCCAGTGCCGATGGGACACAGCACACAGATTATTGTCTTTAAACTACTATTTCACGGAAAAAACACTGGATGACCATAGTGCTTATAGCTGCAAAAAAAAAAAAAAAAAAAAAAAAAAATCAAAGTAAGGCCACTGTTTACAATTACTTGTTATGTCATACTTACACATGGAGATTTTTTTCTGCTGTAACTAGTTCCAACAGGATTTCCTAGCATTTTGTTTTTAAACAAAACAAAGGTATTTCACCTACTTTTACTTTCTTGACTGTACTAGATGACTACAAAGGTCAGCTGTTCTCAGGGGACAGCACAGCTTGGGTGTAACAGCAGGCTAACAAAGATGGGCTTCTCAGCTTGTGTATGTTTGTCAATGGCAACACAAAGCCAGTTCCTCTCCAAGTGCTACTTGGATCTAACATAGAAGAAAAGCCTGTTAAGCTGTCATCCCCAACCACCTTCCACCACCCTCTTTCTGAAACAGTCTCAATGGAGAAAAAGTACATATGTAGAACTGGATTTTCAGAAGACACAAAATACTTTTGACTATAAAGTACTTCTCATTTTAATTTTAAGATAGGATCTCATCATAATGAGATAACCACAGCCTATGGTATCAGAGACATTGCACATTAGGTATGGTTATCTGAATGTTATGTACCTAGTCAGCCTTGAGGACCATGTCTTGTTACCCAAGATTAACTGCAAACTCTTAATAAATAGTACTTTCTTTCACCTGTGCTACAAGTCACACAACTTCCATCAGCAGAGATGAGAGGGAACACACATAGTTCAGAGAGTGAGATAAGAAGATCTTCCACAACGAGATAGAAGATGCTGAATTTCTAAATTCAGTTTTCTTCTTTCTGTCAGTACCCTATAAAAAGAATTGACTTGCAGTCATCAGTTTTTCACATCAAATAGTTACTGTTCAGATGACTTTGAAAGGTAGTCTTCCAAGCAGAAAATCCAGAAAGTGACAACTTATTCAAGAAATTCAGAGAATAATTTCACCTTTCCTAGACTACTGTCCATCTAAATCTCCAAACCTGTACTGGGTCTAGGAAGATGTAAACATAAGGGATGTTTGTGAAGAACACACAAATGAATGCTGACTGCTGTTAAGATTTTGACATGCCTGAGAAATTAAAATTGCTCATCCTAGCAGAGTTTTGATGAGTGGGGAGCAGCTGAAGTCCTTATTGTTTTGTGCACAGAACATGGACTTGATTTTGGCAGCTTTGCTGTTTTGTGAGATCACATAGCTGTGGGTTAGACCAGACATGAGCTTCTCTATAGTGAAGGCAAAAATTACATCAAGTTCCTTAGATTATATTTATCCCACAGTATCTTTACACATTAACAATGAGTCATTTAAGAGTTAATGAAAAGGTCATTACAGTGACATGATGCACTGGGTCCTGAGAGGATAACAATAAGGTACAACCACACTGCCATTCTACCAACAAAATCTGAAATTCAAATGCATGATAAGAACACATGCTTTTACTAGGTCATGCCTGTAACAAGTGAGTACTTCTCAACACCCACCTAATTTAACCACTGGACACCTATAATGTACTTAAAGTCATACAGTAGTAGAATATGTGCTTTTACTAGGTTGTGCTTTTATGGTTTTGGTAACAGAGCAATGCCTTCTTAATGTCCGTATGAATTAACCAGTGGACATCTGTGATACTCCTAAAGTAGTAAAGTGGATTTGCCTAAGGAATTTGGAGCTATTACATTTTTTTTGAGTCTGCCACAGAAGTTCTAAACTGTTTGGCAATGAAATGTGACAAAAGACTATTCTTAAGTATCCTCTGTTTTAGTCTGAAGTGTCCAACAAGGTGAAGGCCATTGCTCCAGCTTTGCAGTGTTTGATTCAATGCAATGATCTTCTGTCACCTCCGGCAGATGTTCATCAGCTGTTGATAACTTGGTCTTCGCAGGCTGGAGGTGGCATTTGTACAGCAGACGTGACACTTCTGGTGTAGGCTTTCATTTCCCCTTCAACAAGAGAGTCTTGTTGGCTTGGATTATAGGATCTTTCAGAGAAGCCAATATAGTCATGGTCAATAACTACTGCACCTTGTAAAAAGTAGTGATTGTCTGTAAAAGAAAAACAGCCTTAAATTAGATCCTTCAAGCCATACTTAATATATTAGTAAGGTGCTAACTTACTTTTCAAAACAATTTTGTAAGATGAGAAGAATATTTGAGTGGCAGCAGTCTGATAATGTGCATTTCCTATTGCACTAAGCATCAATGTTTGGCTGCACCTCACTACATCCACAAAATAATGATACCTTAAATGAATGGACATGCGGGTTCTTCCATTTTGTGCACACATAGAGAAATGTGGCTACTCCAAGCTTTTGATGGTAAGTCTTAATGCAACACAACAGGCTTTTTTAAGAATTAAAAAAAGAAATAGACAACAATGGTGATTACTACTGTATAGTACTACTGAGCTTTTCTTCTATTCAATATATGGTTACAGTGTTTAACTTTTCCAAATGAGTTCAAATAAAATTATAACAGTCTGATCAGACAGTGTAACTGTCAACACAGTGTTAATCCTTCTGTTTTGGAAGATGAGGTTAGGCCCATCTTCTTGCTCACACAAGAACCCTAGTATGAAATCAAGTATTCTGTTAAGAACCATTAAACAGTATCTCTATACAGGGAACTTCAAATTCCTTTATGAGATGTAGGTCCAAAGAGGGACATTTGTGGGATCTACTGTGGAGATCTACTGAAACTACACTATTCTGGCCATTATTTCTCAATAGATGTGTCCTAAATCTGCATATTTGCATTCCTTGAAACATTTGAGCACTGGACCTAGAGGCCTTCTCTTGAGTTTAATATTTAAACCAAACTACACTCAAACAAGGAAAACAAAACATTGCTTCAGACTCATAAATTTATGTATACATCAGGTGTCCTGGAAACTCTGCCTCACTGTAAAGACTGTCCTGGTTTCAGCTGGGATGGAATTAATTTTTTCTTCTTAGTAGCTAGAATAGTGCTATGTTTTGGATTCAGTATGCGATTTGGTATGAGAAGAATGCTGATCATATGCTGATGTTTACAGTCATTGCTAAGAGATCAGAGACTCTAACTCCCCATGTCCTGTCCATCCACAGGTGTACAAGCTGGGAGGGGGCACAGCCAGAGCACCAGACCCAAACTAGCCAATGGAATACTCCAGATCTTGTAATGTCATGCTCAGTATACAAAAGAGGAGCAGCTGTGAAGGAGAGGACTCTCTCTCACTTCCAGGACTGTGATTGATGGATGTTGTTTTCTTAGACTCACTAGCTGGGAACGGGCTAGGTATCAGTTGGCAGGTGGTGAGCAATCACATTGTGCATTACTCATTTGTACTTTATTATGGTTATTATTTTATCGCAATTACTAAACTGGTTTTTATCTCAACCCATGAGTCACTCTTTATCCATCCAATTCACTACCCCATTTCCTGGGTGGGGGAAGGGTGAGCAAGCAGTTGTATGGTGTTTGGCTGCTGGTCAAGTTCAAACCACGTTGAACACCCAGGTACCAAGCAACCCAAGTACACCCAGACTGCAAATCTGTGATGCCTTTACCAACAGCTCTATCAATGCATTGACTCAGGTTTTATCTTTAGACTAAGAGTATTACAAAAGGTTACGAAAAACTACCTTGCTTCTGATTGCCCATCCTTACATGCAAAAGATTTTTTTCCTGACATGAAAACTTCCAAACTCACACATCAAAAGTGTTGATAGATATACTTCATATTTTTGGAGTAAGGTAAGTAAAACACTTAATAGCACTTACAAAGCTGGTAGGCAAAGGCCACAAATACCCTCATCTAAGATGTACTTTTTCCACATTTATTTCAGAGAACACTGCAAATGCTTTGTTCCCATCCAAGGCGATGCCACCGGTCTGGTGAGACAGCCACCAGACTTACACCACAGCAGGGAATAATGTTGCAGATAAAAAGAGTCTACCCCTGCTCATAAAGAGAAGTCCCTAGTTACTAAAACACACATGTTCTTTCATGGATGAAAAAGATATCTGTCATTTCTATGTAATTCACTGCTCAGTTTCACTGCTCTTATCCAACTGAAATAATACTTTATTGATTGCTGTTAGGCTGTTTGATAAAAGCTGGCAATTATTTTGGCAAAGTCTGGTTTACCTCTCTGCACAATATAAATTTTAAGATTTGTAACTATTCATAATAGAGTGATTTTTTTTGACTGTACCAGACAACTAATCTTTAGTCACTTCCTGGGAAAGGAAAGAAACTATGTACTGCTTCTGCAGTTGTCAAGTTGGAGATTTTCTATGTGCTTGAAATGCATGTGACTTTCTCCTTATGGATGAGCAAATTAATGAGGAACCGGAAGCCACAGAGTGATCACCCAACAATAAAAGTAGCGTCCTGGAGACATAGGAAATCTGCATCTTGGTTATCAAATCTGTAATTGACAACTGGCATAAATATCAGCTTTTCACATGGAATTTGAGCATTAGTTTCAGCTTTAAGAAGTGATGGAAAAAATTATCATCTCAAAGTAGTTTACGCATTTTCAAGAACCAAAGCATAAACACACATGACAACAGGGTGGGAACTGATCTACTTTTCAAGAATCCTGAATCAAAAAGCAGCTTGTTCTGTGACAGATCTTCAAAACGCAGTATTCGTTTTCGTCAACATGCCTGCAGTGACTCAAATACAGCATCAACAGAAAAAAAACCCAGCTACCACTGTTGAATTAACACCACAGAATTTCAAAAGGACACACTGAATGTGTAAGAGCAAGTAGCAGTTGATTACTTAAATCTTTGGGAATTTCTAGCGGTCCTAACTGTAGAGCATGACACATTTAATTCTTCAGTAGCACAATTTAAAATAAACTCTCCAAAAATTAGTTCTCTGTTGTAGTCTTTCTATTTTAAGGCTTTAGAAGATACACTTTTGTTGTTAAAAAAAAAGAGTCAAAACGTGCCCTTGGAACCAGTCAAAGCAAAAAAAAAAAAAAGAAGAAAAAATTAGGTTTCCCTTTCACAGGCAAAATAAATGCGAAAACTATCTACTTCAAAACAAAAACAGTCAGAAAATGCTCTTTGAATACAGTTCAGTCTGATTATATTTCTAGCATGTTTTCACCAGTCAGCATGAATAGGGCCAAACTATGTATCAGAAACAACTTTAATGGAAGCTATTTTTAAACAGACTTTTTATGTGACTCATTAACTCTGTTCAATGCTCTGCATAGGTTTGAAACCACACACTGTACTCCTTACTGAAAACTGCCATTATTACATTATTACTCAGTTAGTTTAAACTACATGTTTAAACTAACTCACATAGAGTGAATGATACTTATTTACTCCGATAACCTCATCTAACACCAAGACACAGCAGGAAAGTATGTAAACGCTAAAGTTTTATACATATATATATATATGAAATACACACACACCTTTTTCACTGGACCCTCTTATATATGGCTTGAGGTGAGACATCTTGATGGGTCTTTTCAGCCTGGATCCTGTGGCATCTCTTAATATTGCACAGCCATTATCCGTGATATAATCTATAATACAAGGACCAACCCATTCCGACTGGAAACGACCATCTTTCCACCAGTTTTTTCTTTGCCTGAGGACTTCATGACCAACTTTAAGTCGAAGGGTATTTAGTTGCTTTGGCTTCCTTTTGACAGTGATTTTGTTTCTGATATTCTGTTCATCTGAAGTGTTTTCCTCCCCCTGCAGAGAGATACATATGAATTACATTTTCTTTTTCCAAAAGTAATCATCTATTTTCATAACATTGGTTGATAAAGCAGAAGCATAACATTAAGTGGTTTCAGATGTGTGTAACTGGTAATATGTAGGGCTGGAAAGTTCTGAGGAAACTGATTGTATCTTCATAAAATTAATAGTCCTTATGCAGTGGTTTTCAGCCTGCATAGATATGTAGCCCTGTAAGTCAGATATGAATCTCTTAGCAGCAGGTCTCTTAAGGTATATCCTCCAAATACAGATGAGAATTGTTACACTGGGGAACACAGGCAAAGGGGAAAAAAAAACAAAACCAAAACAACCCACCAAAAAAACAAAGCTCCCCATGGCTTTAAAAGGTTAAACTTCACACCTCAACCCTTTCCATCTTTTCTATCTTCAGTCTTCTTACTAGTAAAACTTGAATATATAACATTTACCTGGCAATCTGAGGTCTTCTCTTCTTCCAGTGCTTGACTGGCTTGTTTAGTTGCTTCAAATATTTTTGCAAACATACTGTACTCTCCTTCCACACATATATTCATTGGCTCAACAGCATGTGGGTTACGATTAAACATTTGGACATATGGGATGTTTTGATCTGGCTCCTATTTAAATGGAGAGAAAAAAGCAAGCAAATTTAGCATACAGCTTTGCAAATATGTTGCTGGACTTCAGCCAAAGGAGGAGAAACCTTCACATACCAAATTTGTCAAATTGAAAGCATAGGCAATAGCAGACAAATGTTCATCCCAATTATCTGGATGGTTAGTGCAGTACTTCTTAAGGAAAGCTTTGATTGTTTTGCATGTTCTTTCATTTATATCATCTGTCTGAGGATAAGACAATACAATTTGTTTCATTCCAAACAGTGCAAACAGTTCTTCATTTATCTTCAAAAGAAAAATAAAACAATTACTGAAGGTTTTCCTCTTCTGTATCACAGTTCAAGTAAGCAAACTCAGTTTTCCATCCCCTTTGTTGATATGATGGTGACTGAGCAAAAATCTTAAGTACATATATATTCGCACTTAAACAGTCCAGGACTGAGAGTGAGAGCTAAAGGAATCCGTATGACTTAGGTGACAGTAATCAAAAGTTTCTAAATACATTTTGCTGCTAACTCAATTTGTCATTTCCTCTGTATCATAGGCTCACAATTTCATCATCTCTGAGAGGGTCAAAGTCTGAAAAATCATGTAAGACAATGACAAAAATACCTTTAGCTATGTGCTACTCTGGACAATATGGATGAATGCAATACAGCATGTTGGAATGTGAAAGCTTGTGCCAGTTCAACTGAGTTGACAAAACTTGTACTATGACTGTTAGGAAAACATTTTTTCCATATCCAAAGAATAAAACCCTGGGAAACATTGCATAATGTCACAATTACAAATAAGTGGTTTGTCATTTTCTGTATGTGCCTTTTTAAAAAAAATTTAAAAGTATTTACAGTCTTTTTCAAGAATGGTCTAAAATTCATATTTAATAGAAGAGAAAAAATATTTTTTCTTGAAAACGAAAAAAATAAACCAGCCACGGAATTACTTGCCTGGTAAACAAGTTCCTTCCCTTGATCAATAGGCATTTTTTGAGGTGGCCCATATAAGAAAAATACATTTATGATTGCCTTAGAAATTTCAGCTGCTGAAGTGTCATGCAGTGGCAGGATAACAGTCCATCTTGTAAACAAATCTGTCATCATTATGATGTACTTATGGCTTCTGTTGGTAATATTAAAAGGTCCCATTAGGTTTATAGTGACTGCTGTCCAGGGGTACTCTGCTTTGATAGGGTGTGTTTTGGGTTCTGTGGTGGTTGTATTCTTTGCCACTTGGCAACACCGGCAAGCATACACCTAAAAATCAGGGAAAATGCCATCACTGCAAAAAATCAGGGGAAATGCTATAAATAAAAAGTTATGGTGAAGGTTTAAGACAATCAGTAGGATCATAGGTCTCCACTATTGCCCTGTAAGTTACGTCAGACCAGGCAATGCAAAACAAATTCATTTTATCATCTTCTGCATAATTATCTACCCTTAGATTTTTCAGCCCCCAGAATAAAACCAAAACCAAACAGTGAAACCCAGAAGTACATGTGCAGGAATTCATAGCTAAACTCTCCCCGTTCTGAAGACACTAGGGTCTTCAAGTCCACAGTATAAATTTTAATATTCATTACCATCTGTAAATACTAAAAGAAGTACAAAGCAGCTGGGATGCAAATAAAGTCCCGGTCCTTCCCCTTTTAACTATTGTGTATGCTGTGGTGGAAAAACATTGGCAGTGTACATACTCTTCCATGCATAACATGGATCAGCTTTATCTACAAAACAAAGCTCCTTTGTTTAAGTCTGAACTGAAAGCAAAGACTCATGTTACAGTTGCACATAAAACCAGACTATTCAGGTGATGCAGCAAGTTGACAGCAACAGGCATTTGGTCTTAAATGACATTCACATACAGTTTCCTCAAGGATCATATTCTGCCTGGAGAACTTTCCCAAGCAGTGATTTGTTTAACTATATCCAGAACACATCTAATTGTAAGGCAGAGGCACCATGTTCATATTGTTATCTGCCAGAAGCCCCTCTGGTCACATATCCTTGGAATGGTACACTGCACCCTAACAAAGATGTTAAGAGTCCTTGCAAGAGAAATATCTTTCAAAGACCAGATATGCCCTGCATACTTAAAAACAATACAGCTGGATCCCCACCACTCAGTAACATACAGCAATATATGCAAGTCACCTAGTCAGTAATAAGAGGAAAAAAAGGAAACACTATGCCTCATGAAGACCATTTTCAATTTGATTATGTTTCCTCATCATGAAACAGTATGGGTACTTGCTGTATCAAAGTCATATGATTACAAAATGTTTACAACAGGCTACATTTAAAAAAATACAGTGTAGCTATGAGACCATACCCACTGCTTGACATCATTTGTTATAGAAGTCCAGTAGTAATTAGATTCCACTAAAGTCAGTGTCCTTGATATGCCATGATGAGTACCAGCAGCATTTTTGTGGCATTTCTCAAGCACATTTTTCTTCTCTTCATCTGAAACAATTACCAGGCGCATTTGTTTTCTGTCTTTTCCAACATAGAACAATTTATTTTCTGAAAGAAGAAAAGTACCAGCAATTTATATGCAATGTTTTGTCTTTTGCTTAGTTTATTAAACTACTGGGCATGATTCAGTACAGAATTTATTAAATCAACTTCAATTCACTTCTGTGTAAATGTAGCTTCTTGTTTATAAATACTTCAATTATTTCCTCCGAAGAACCAATTGTTCACTTAATCTGGACATGAGGCATTACAAGGGCAAATCAGAATGCAAATAACATTCCCACAGGAAGCGTGACTGAAACACAAGCTAATGCTGGGGATTGGAAAGGGAGGTAGAACATGTTATGAGACTTATTGTTTGCTTGCCAGCAACCTGACATTGCTATTTGCAGCTTTAACTCCTTCCTGCCTTGTCTCTACATAGGCTCAGCACGTTTGATGGGATTGAGAGAGTACAACAGACTACAAAGGCTCATATACCTCCTTGCAGGGATAAAATAAAACTGGGAAAGGCTGGTAAGCTCTAAGGTGGCAGATGGCAAAGCCATTCTTGCACATCATTCTTGCATTCTTGCCCAGCCACATACAGCATCCTCCAGACCAGACCAAACACTCATTGTCTACAGCTGCAGAACTGGACTTCTTTCTGTAGTCCTTTGAATTATGGATTGCAATAGCTTCATATTTCCACAGTATCTAGAATGAGGGTTGGCTTTTACATTGATATATAAATCCCTCCCAGAAAGTACTAAAGCAGACTGAGTCCCATTTCTATAAATATCCTGTTACGTATTAACAAGGGTTAAGGAGGGTGTTTGTTTAATAGAGAATGTATATTAAAGTCATGTGATACTACAGTGCAAAATCCCACGTTTCCTTTGTATCAGCAAATCCTCAACTAAAACCCTATTTTTAGAGCAGAGTCTGAGAGAATATATTTACCTTTGAAAACAAATTTTTTGGCTGCTCTCCTGATTCCACTTCTTTCACTTGATAACGTTGTGGGATGATACTCCCCTGTTCGCTTGTAGTATGCAATCTGTTTCAGGTGGAGTCCACCGTTTTTTCCACTACGGACCATTGCTAACCTGACAAAATGCACAGTATTTGTTAGATGGAACAACTGTCAAAGACACAGATCTTCAGTTTTTATTAATTTTTTTGTAGTTCAGAGGTATCCTGATAATGTAGCATCTAAGAAGATGTTACACCACCCACTGCACTGCTCTTGATATCCCATGCTATCAACTTGAGCAATAAGGAACACTACTTGACACACCGATTCTGTTCTAAGCAAAGTTGGTTTTGTCAACATGTATTTTAAAACGACCAAACAATGGGCACTTCCACTATATTCATTGGCCAGGGTGCATGAAAATGAGACCACAGAGAAAGAAATAGTTAGGCTCATTCTAAAGCATTTGCATAGCTTTCAAATGCAGTCATGTTAGAGATCAGATTTGTCAAAAAAACAACTCTAATTGGAAAAAAACACATAAGACAAACAGGAAAAAACAACTCCCCAGACAGAAACTGATAGAAATTTATTTTGTTCATTAATTCATCTGACAATTAGATTCTGAAGACCCAAACCAGACTCTGCATGCATGGTAACAAGTCATTCTTTGACAAGGGCTGAATCCCCCGATCACATTAATAAACTGAAATGTCATTAACAAAATGCGGCATTGGTACAGGAAATGTTTGGGTCTAGCAAAAATAGCATTAAAATAATTAACAATTAATGACAAGCAGAAATATTCACAGGCAAAAGAAGTCATGCAGGCTCTACGTGATTTCAGTTGTTTTGGGTTTTTTTTCCAAACCTGCTCTGGCAACGATTAAGATGTAGATGGAATGACAGTTTGATCCTGCTCTAATTGATGTCTACAAGAGCAGAATCAGGCTTGGGGTCTGCCATATCATAATTTCTTAATGAATGCTGGTTATACAATGCATTAAGCAAATTTCTTCCTTATCCTGCCAGTGTCCCAAGGCTTGACAATATGAAAACAAATAGCTTGCTAAAGAGTCATCAGGGGGGGTGTGCATGCCCTATCTGCTAAACCACATAGAGTTATGGGTAAGTGACAGCATGCAGGCACTGGGGAATCTACGTTAGCTCCTTAATAAGGTGATGCTCTTTTAAAGTAAAATGTGTAAGTCAGGATGTTCATTTTTGAATTTATAGACTCTCACCTACCTTTACTATACTGGGTGGGAAGGAGGTAGATCTCTAAAGAGTAATTATGCTGAATTTTATTTAACTGAGCAGCCATTGAGTCTCAAAGGAAAAGGTACAGATAACTAAAGAGACCATTTTACATCTAAGATTTGAAAATTACCAAGGACGCCGAAGTTTGAACCAAGAAAGCAAGCAAGCTATCTGTAAAATCCCTGAACTTGAAGCTCCAGACGAGCTGCATGCCTTTCTGGGAATGGTCAGATGGTGACACCTTTGGATTACTAATTATGGACTATTAGTAAAATCATTCTATCAACTGCTGAAAAGAATGTTCTACAATGGAATAATGTGAGTAAGGCCACATTTAAGAGACTTAAGGCATCTTTAATGTGAGTCCCAGCTTTGAGTTTACTTGACCCAACTAAGGCTTCTGAACGTTCACACATGCCCTTCAAGGACAAGGAGTAGCCCTTGAACTTCTGACCCAATTTTTAGGGCCTGAACAGAGAGCTGTTGCCTATTTTTCCAAACAACTAGACACCATTAGCCATAGACAGCCAGGATGTCTAAGAGCAGTAGCTGCAACTGTGATACTGATTACTGAGGCCCATAAATTGATTTTGGCTTAGAAAGTGACTGTGTATGCTCCTGTCCTGGTTTTGGCCAGGATAGCTCTACCTGGTCTTGATAGGTCTACCTTGGTCTGAGAAGAAAGAGAGCTGTTTCAGTTTCCCAGTCACTTGCAGGATTTCTGGTGCAGTCAGGATTGATACTGGGGTCAGACTACATACCACTCACTGGTCAGTCAGCCACTATTGTATTTCACTCAGTTTGGACTTACTGTCATTACTGTTGTTTTCTTACTACCACTATTTTTTTTCTAATTCAACCTACGAATTTTTTTTTTTTTTTTTTTTTTTTTTTTTTTTTTTTTTGTCCCTCCCCTATTTCACCCAGGAGGAAGTGGGGGGGTAGAGAGTAAAGGACTGGCCACATAGGCATTGGCTGCCAATTGAGTTCAAACCAGGACAGTCTTTGGGCACCCAACGTGGGGCCAGCAGTTTGAGAAAACAGATTTTATCACTTGCCAAATGTATTCCCCATGCTGTTGCTCACCTTCCCTGAGAGTTGGGTTAAGGTTTTGTTTCTGTTGTACTATGTGAGGCTCTTCGATGATAGCATGCAGTCATCGGTCCTGGGGCTATTTACAGTTGTGTTTGAAAAATTCAGGAATTTCAAATATCCTTGGAATGTTGACAGTAACATGATAACATCTTACTGCTAGGAGCTAGTGTGTTCCTGCATGTGTTTCAGGTTTTGTTCAGCGTTAAGCAACTATTTAAGAGGATCACTTGGAAACCTACCCCATGGTTGGAGAATTATGAGTGGCTGGGGGTGTGGAGTAGCATGGGCAAGTACCTAGAACAGTGGGCACCTCTGGTGTTTTGGAACTTCACTCCTGCACGGGTGCAGAATCCTGAGGAACTAGTGGAATATTTGGAAAAAGTATGTTGTCACCCAGAGGTGTGCCTTCCAGAGGCACGGATCACTGCAACATGCTGGGGCCTAGCCCACACTTACCGAGTGCTATTAAACACTGTTCAGCACCCTCAAGAGGAAGAGAGTCTGGTAACAAAGCAACAGAAACTGCAGCCACCACAAGCCCAAGGACAGGCACTGCAGCTGAACCAGAGAACCAACACATGACCATGTCAGTTGCTCCCATGCAGAAAAAAAAATACACAAGAAAATCTCCTTGCAGTGTACAGGGTGATGATGAATGAGGCCCATCACGAGAACAGGAGTAGAAGGCAGAGCCAGTGATAGTCACCCAATCCTTACCCCTGAGTGAGTTATGAGACATGCAAAAAGATTTCAGCCACCATCCAGGTGAGCAACTTGTTACCTGGCTGCTGCGGTGCTGGGATAGCAGGGTCAGTAGCATGGAACTAGAGGGTAGGAAGTCCAGACAGCTGGGATCCCTGTCTAGGGAACGGGGCATTGACAACACCACTGGAAAGGAGACACAAAATCTCAGTCTCTGGAGGTGATTTCTGTCAGGTGTGAGGGAGAGTTATCCTGCAAGGAAGATTTTTGTATGTCATCCAAGTAAGTGGACCACTATGGATTCAATACTTGAGGGAGCTAGCTGTGAAGGAGACAGTTTACTATGACCCAGATAACACACAGCTGCCCACAAATCCAGATGAAGTCCAGTGCACCCAGCCCATGTGGAAGGTTTGTACTGAGCACTCCCTCATCATATGCCAGTGCATTAGCAGTAATGGACTGGGGAGACAAAGAGGGACCAACAGTAGAAGAACTGGCTCACCAACTATGACAGTATGAAGAAAGTCACTCTTCCCCCCTCCTCACAGCTGTGGAGAAATTACCTCAAGATTTCCAGCAGTTTGAAGAGGCTATGTCCTACTGCCCACCTGCATGGACTAGAATCTCAGCTATTAGGAGCAGTCATTTCTCTACTCAAGAGAACACACCATGGCACACACCATAGGGGAAGCTGTGGTATTGCCTGCATGACCATGGAGAAGACAGGAAGAAGTGGGATGGAAAACCTACCTCCCTCCTAGAAGAGTGGGTATTTGAGCTGGAAGGAAGAACAAGTACAGAACACGGTTCCCTTCAGGAGAAATGCTGTTCTGGTTTCCAGTGATCAAGTGCACAAAAAGAGCAGAAATGTCAACTTTGCTCACGATCCTAGGAGAAGAACTTCCGACTTGTACTCACAAGAAGTGAATGATCAAGATGAGG